ATGCGGCCCTGGATGTGCGGAGCGTTGGTCCCGACGCCGACCGCTCCCAGATGGTTTTTCTTCTGGGAATTTGGACGGCATTTTTTGCCGGTTTCGGAGTCCGACCTCGGTTGCATTGAGCTCCGTGGGATAAAGGCCCACCTCCCCTGCCAAGCGTGCTCTGGGACGTTCAAGGTGCCGTTCGGGGGTTGGTTTGGCCACGCGCTTGCTGATAAGTTAGCGGGGGGAGGGGCCAAGGCGCACGTATCGAATCCCGACTTGGAGCGAAGGCGCGCTGATAGCCGTAAGTCGGTGCGGTGGGCCTGTAAATATGCCGGCGCTTTCGGCAAGTCTCTGTCCACGTGTGATTTTCTTTGATGTCGGGACTGATGTCCAGAGGGTGCAGAAACCCCGAAGGCCCAGCTTTTACCCTAAGCTGCTTGTCCCTGACCCCAAGGCCACGTGCTGCAGCAGGTTGGCAAATTAGGCAAGGCTTTCGTTTGCACCCGTTGCGGGGCCGTGTGTGCTATGCCGTGCATTGCCTTGTCGGGGCTTGCCCGTCTGCCCGAGAAAACCATAGGTTGTGGTTCATGGGCTCGTCATTGGTGTAGTGTTCAGCTTGTTTAGCCTTTGGGGGTTCGCGTCTCCGTTTGCTTGGTGGGGCCCGTCTTGCCACCCCCGAAGCAAAAACGGAATGACAACCTTAAGACCTTAAGGTTGCTTTGATAAGAAGGATCCGTCCACGAAAAGTGAGGCAGGCAGGCGCTTCCGCCTCATCATCAGTTAGTTCGTTGTTGGTATCCGTTTTGCATCTTGAGTGTCGCGTTGCATCTTGATGCGGACGTCCCGCAGCCTGAAGGAGCTTGATCGAGGAGGAGGAGGAGGAGGAACGCGAGGAAAAGAGCGAGGAGGACCGAGGCGGATGAAAAGGAGGAGGCGGAGGAGGAGGAGGAGGAGGAGGAGGAGGAGGAGGAAGAGGAGGTGGAGAAGGTGGAGAAAGAGGAGGAGGATGATGGGGAAAAGAGGGGGAAAACACGAGGACAAGGCCGAGGAGGAGGAGGAGGAGGAGGAGGAGGAGGAGTTGGAGGAGGAGCGCGAGGAGGAGGAGGAACATGCGGAAGAGCACGAGCAGGGAAGGAGGAGGAGGAGGAGGAGCAGGAGGAGAAGAAGAGGAGGAAGAGGAGGAGGAGGAGGAGCAGGACGAGCAGGAGCAGGAGGAGGCGGAGGAGAACGATGCTGATGAGGAAAGCGAGGAGGAGGAGGAGCAGGAGGAGGAGGAGGTGCAGGAAGAGGAGGGAGAGGAGGAAGAGGAGGAGGAGCAGGAGCAGGAGCAGGAGGGGCGGGAACAGGAGCAATAATAGGAGCAGGAGCAGGAACGGGAGCAATAGCAGAGTCAGGAGCAGGAGCAGGGGCAGGAACAGGATGATGACGAGGAGGAGGAGGAGGAGGAGGAGAAAGAGGAGGAGGGGCCGCTCCCATACACACCCCAACGTAGCGGGGGCGGTACACACATATCTATATATATATATATATATATACACATGCATACATACATACATACATACATACATACATACATACATACATACATACATACATCTACACACATATTCAGTCACACGCATAGTCATAATCACACACGTATACATATACACATGCATATACACATACAAATGCAGAAGTACATACACATACGCATACATATCCATATACACATACATAGACGTACACGTATGCATTTACACGTACACATACATATATAAGTATACATCTAATGTATACACATACGAATAGTCATGTACAAAACAGTTGCACAACAATATGCATGCATGTAAACACCTATATGCACTTACATACACACACGTATACCTCTAGCTATGCACTCACATATGCATAGACATGTACACGTGCATCTAGAGTTGCAGGCAAACATGTGACTATATATACACATCTACGATCATTCACATGCATACATACATATATATAGACATATACACATGCACATACGTATGTATATCATTGTACATATGCATACACGTGCATATACCTAAGCATGCACATTCACCTATAGATATGCGTACACATATACACATGTATACACATATACGTATTCAACTACGTGTATTTATGTGTATATATATAGAGAGAGAGGGAGATGTATAGATGCATATACACACAGACCCCCCAGCAGGGGCCACCCCGCAACCGTGCGGGAACGTTTTTTGCTGCCCTCCCGATTCGCTTCCCAGAGGCTGCCAGAGGGACCCAAGACGAGACAAGAGGGCCCCAGAAAGCGCCCAATGGGGTCCCAGTTTAATGGGCAGCTGCAGGCAAGTCGACCGCGCAGCCTGCAGAAACCTGGCGCCCCCAGAGGAACTCGTCGCGCAGCCGAGGCCAGAACCGTTGCATACCGCGGGAATGAGCGTGCCAATGTCGAGGCTATGCATCTTACCAGGAGAGGGTGCTCGAACCTCGCGGGCTCCAGGAAGCTCGCTCAACTGCGACATGGGCCCGCGCACCCAGGCAGGCCCTTCGGAGGCCCCAGACACCACCCGAGCTAGCCCTCTTCTCCAAGAGTGTCAAACCCTGCGGACAGCGCGCGGCGCGCGAAGCGCTTAGAAAACCAGTGGTGGGAATGCCCGGAGCCTCCAAGTGGAGTGGCCCGAACTCGTGGTGCTGTTGTTGGCGCGCAGTCCTTCGCGGCGTGAAGGTGTTCTGGAAGTGCCTGAGCATGCCCGTTATGGTCTCCAAGTGTGTGAGTGCTTGTTTGGATGCCCATGTCTGTCTCGGCGTTCGCCCTCCCGACGTCGGCTTTCGAGGGAAATCGCGCGAGATGACATCGTGTGAGAGATCTGTGACATGGCATCAGTGGTCGGCTGGATCTGCGCGGCAACCTGGAATTGGGGCCCCGTCCAGCATTTATGTGAAAAACTTCTCGGGTTTGCTGGCCCTCAAAACGCGCCTCGTCGCATTGGATGTGCAGGAAGTGGCTATGATTTGAGAAGTGCTAGGCGAACGCGACGCGAACAGTCAACGAGACCGCCTCGTGATCAGTGATGGTCGCGGCGAGCTCGATATCCCAGGCCACCCTGGCCTTCCGAAGTGGCACCGTGTGCGATTATACAATGTAGCCCAGACGCTCACCTTTCTTTGCCTCCTGATGTTGTAGGTCAGACTAAAGGAGGCCCGAGGTACCAGCGGAGGAGGTCATCGTACACTGAGCCCGCAGAGGCTCTTTCCAATCGCATTATGTGAAAGATATTCGAAGGACGATGTCTTTTGCCAGCACATGCTTTGCCAGCGCTAGTAGAGGCGCGGGGTCGAGAGAGCCACTTGGGGCCTCAGAAGTTGATCTCGGGGACACAGAGGCCCGGACATTCGGTGGGCACGGCGCCCGCGCCCTCCCGCCATGTTTGTAGATATGCCCTGCGGCGACATTGTGGGGGCCGAGCCCGTCGACACAATTGAGCGAGGGCGGCGAGGGCGTGCATACAGGACCCCGCAATACTTGGCAATGCAGCGCTTCCCATCGGCGCATGCTGCTTGGATAGTTTATCCAGGGAAAACGCCCGCAGCGTCGCTGCCGATCCAGCGTGCAATACAGAATTCCCACATTGGGAAGTCAATCCCGCGGGAAGCGAGTCTCGCATGTCACGGCAAGGCAAACTCAGGACCTCTGGAAGATGACGCTGGGACACATTGTATTGTGCGCGTTCTGGCCTGGGCCTGGCGCGGAGTTGACGGACCAATGATGGCCTGGCAGTGCGCCGGGAGGGCCCCGAATAGCGAGCCCCGTCGCCCATGGCGCCCAGGGCGCCCATGTTGTCCCCGAGTATGGTGACCTCCAGATGCACCAGGGCACCCACTTGCATGGTCCAGGCGAGCTCCCACTGCAGGTCAGGTTTCCGAGAGGGACGAAGCCACATATTATGGAATACAGTTGGGACCGGTTGTCAGGGCAGCATAAATAACATAGAAGCGCCCTGGATCTAGCTTTCCGAATCGACGATCAAGAAAAACCCAGCTCGGGGGCCAGAGCCTGGAGGGGACAACCAACTGCCACTGGAACCATCAGTAAAGATATGGACGGGAATTCAGTCTGCAAGCTCCGCACTGGAAATAAGATTTGGTAGGGGCCCTGAATTAGACGAGTGCGTGAATGGTAGCAATCTGAGGATGCCACAGTCCAACTACGCCCCTACGGTTTCTGTAGCACGGCAGGGACGTGGGTAGTAGTAGGGAGTTGTGAGCGGACAGTCCCCCTGAAATAGCGCGATCGACATTCGGGTTTTCGGGTGTATTGCGGCCCATGGGAGTGGCCGTAGTCGTCGGCTGGCTCGACCAGCGAGCCGATGCTCATCTCTCGCTTGGGTCCAGAATGACTTGGGCAGCAACCTCTGCCCTCTGCCTGCGTCCGTTCGCCGTCCGTGATCTGGTACTTGTGGGCTGGTTGGTCCTCCGCTTCCTCTGCGCCTCTCGAGGAGGCAGGCGGCCTTGGCAAGTTTGTGTTGGGTAAAGAAGCTCAGGCCCTGTGCTTGGGCTTGTCGAGCTCGCTGGGCCTGACGCTCCACTTTGGCTGCCCGGTGGGGTACGTTCCCAGGGTGCCTTCTTCATGGAGCTGTAGTGGCTGGCCACGTTCTCCCTGGCCACCGCCACGCGCAGGAACGTTCCTGCGATTCCTCGCTGCGCACGCAGCCGTCGGTGCCACGCTGGCTCTGGCTGACGGAGCCGTGACCGCGGCTGCCCGAATTGCCCAAGCGGGGCACGGCCTGCCCGAAGCAGCCTGGTCGCTACTGGATGGCGCGTTGGCACTCGTCCTGGGCGAGTCGCGCTGCCACCTGGCATTCAGCAGCTCCCAAAGCCTCGAACCGGGACGACGGCTGTAGGAGAAAAAGCCAGGAGGGAGGAGGCGGAGGGAGACGGGGGAGGTTAGCGTGGAGAGGTGTTCGTGGAGGTGCGGTCGTGGAGGGCGTGGGCAGCCGCCGATGCCGCCGATGCCGCCAGCCACGCGGGAACCCGAGGTGGATTATCTACACGACCCGGTACGGTGCCAGGGCTGCGGCGGTTCCCTTCATTTCGTCGTTGCCGTTGCCGCCGTCGCCACGGTCGCCGCCGTCGCCGTTGCCGCCACCGTCGCCTTCGCCGTCGCCGTCGCCGCTGCCGTCGCCGCTGCCGTCGCCGTCGCTCGCCGTCGCGATCGTCGTCGTCGTCGTCGTCGTCGTCGTCGGCGGCATGGTCGTCGTCGTCGCCGTCGCCGTCGTCGGCGTGGTCGTCATCGTCGTCGTCGTCGCAGTTGTCGTCGCCGCCGCCGCCGCTGCCATCGTCCTCGTCATCTTCGTCGTCGTCGTCGCAATTGTCGTCGCCATCGCCGTCGCCGCCGCTGCCACTGTCCTCGTCCTCTTCGTCGTCTTCGTCGTCGTCGTCGTCGGCGTGGTCGTCGCCGTCGTCATCGTCGGCATGGTTGTCGCCGTCGTCGTCGTCGTCGTCGTCGTCGCAGTTGTCGTCGCCGTCGCCGTCGCCGCCGCTGCCATCGTCCTCGTCATCTTCGTCGTCGTCGTCGTCGTTGTCGGCGTGGTCGTCATCGTCGTCGTCGTCGTCGTCGTCGGCGTGGTTGTCGTCGTCGTCCTCGAGCCGCGCTCGCTCGAGCCGCGCTCGCTTTCGCCCGAAAGATCCGCGCCGCGCGCGCATCCATATCACACTTAGGTGGAGCTCCCTATGGGGCCACGAAACGTGTGAGGGGTGTGCCAAAATGGTGCGGCGCCGCCATGCGAACTGCACCACTGGGACCTCAAGTGGAGCTTCCTATGGTACCACGAAGCGTCTCAGGGGTGTACCGACATGGGGCGGCGCCGCCATGCGAACTGCGCCCCTGGGACATTAGGTGGAGCTCTCTGTTGGGCCACGAAACGTGCGAGGGGTGTGCCGAAATGGCACGGCGCCGCCATGCGAACTGCTCCACTGGGAACTTAGGTGGATCTCCCCATGAGGCTACGAAATGTGTGAAGGGTGTGCCGAAATGTGGCGGCGCCGCCATGCGAACTGCGCCACTGGGACCTCAGGTGGAGCTTCCTATGGGGCCACGAAACGTGTGAGTGGTGTCCAGAAATGTGGCGGCGGTGCCACGCGAACTGCGCCACTGAGGTGGAGCTTCCGATGGTACCACGAAGCGTCTCAGGGGTGTGCCGAAATGGGGCGGCGCCGCCATGCGAACTGCGCCACTGGGACATTCGGTGGAGTTCTCTGTGGGGCCACGAAACGTGTGAGGGGTGTGCCAAGATGGGGGAGGGAGGAGGGGGGTCAGCGGGAGGAGTGACGCGGGGCGCTGTCTTTTCAAAACGAGGACCCAACACCACAGGATGCGTGGGAACAAAACACACTTGGTTTGGCCTGAAGGTCAGGCTCAAAATCAGCATGGTCGAAGCCATGCGTCGCGTTTTCCAGTTGCGATACATGTTCTTTCAGCCAGCCGCCACCACTTCGGAAAGAAAGGGTCCTGTGAGCAAGCGATGGAGGAAACCGGCTAAGAAGACCCAGGAGCCACATCATATTGTTAGGGCAAGTGCAGGCCAGCGCAGGGAAGCCGAAACGAATCTTGGTTTTCAAGAAGCCACCTGCCATGGAGTTTCTTTGTCTTCAGAATCTGCACCACGAGGGCGGGGACTCGGAAGGGAGAGGACTTCGGGGGCGGTCGGGAGGAGCAGGGGCCAGTTCCACGGGAGGAGCACCAACAGCCATTGGATGAAGGCTTTAAGCATCACCTCCACACGAGCATCTTGATTTTCTCTGGCCGAATCGGCAATTGGAGTAGCCAGCTGCCATTGCGAGTGGAGTTGGGGTTGAGAGACGGCTTTCCCGACTGGAGGATTTGTTTTTCCTTGCGCATAGAAAAGAGAAAATATCCTGGCGAAGGACCCAACCATACGCAGTTGTGCATACCGCGTTGCGGGTACCAGTTTCGGTGGAGCTCCTTATGGGGCCACGAAACGTGTGAGGGGTGTCCCGAAATGGGGCGGCGGTGCCATGCGGGCCCTCCCGCTGGGGCCTTCGGTGGAGCTCCCAATGGGGCCACGGACCGTGTGAGGGGTGTGCCGAAATGGGGCGGCGGTGCCATGCGGACCTTGCCACTGGAGCCTTCGGTGGAGCTCCCTATGAGGCCACGAACCGTGAGAGAGGTGTGTCGAAATGGGGCGGCGGTGCCATGCGGACCTTGCCACTGTGGCCTTCGTTGGAACTCCCTATGGGGCCACGAAACGTGTGAGGGGTGTCCCGAAATTGGGCGGCGGTGCCATGCGGACCCTGCCACAGGGGCCTTCGGTGGAGCTCCTATGCCTTATGGGGCCACGAACCATGTGGGGGGTGTGCCGAAAGGGGGCGGTGGTGCCATGCGGACCTTGCCATTGAGGCCTTCGGTGGAGCTCCCTATGGGGCCACGAACCGTGAGAGAGGTGTGCCGAAATTGGGCGGCGGTGCCATGCAGACTCTCCCGCTGGAGCCTTCGGTGGAACTCCCTATGGGGCCACGAAGCGTGTGAAGGATGTGCCGAAATGGGGCGGCTGTGCCATGCGGACCTTGCCACTGGGGCCTTCGGTGGAGCTCCCTACGGGGCCGCGAAACGTGTGAGGGGTGTGCCGAAATGGGGCGGCGGTGCCATGCGGACCCTCCCGCTGGGGCCTTCGGTGGAGCTCTCTATGGGGCCACGAAGCGTGTGAGGGGTGTGCTGAAATGGGGCGGCGGTGCCATGCGGACCTTGCCACGGAACCCTTCGGTGGAGCTCCCTATGGGGCCGCGAAACGTGTGAGGGGTGTGCCGGAATGGGGCGGCTGTGCCATGCGGACCCTCCCGCTTGGGCCTTCGGTGGAGCTCCCTATGGGGCCACGAAACGTGTCAGAGGTGTGCCGAAATGGGGCGGCGCTGCCATGTGGACCCTGCCACTGGGGCCTTCGGTGTAGCTCTTTATAGGCCACGAAACGTGTGAGGGAGGGGTGTGCCGAAATGGGGCGGCGGTGTCATGCGGACCTTGCCATTGGGGCCTTCGGTGGAGCTCCCTATGGGGCCGCGAAACGCGTGAAGGGTGTGCCGAAATGTGGCGGCGGTGCCATGCGGACCCTCCCGCTGGGGCCTTCGGTGGAGCTCCCTACGGGGCCACGAAGCGTGTGAGGGGTGTGCCGAAATGGGGCGGCTGTGCCATGCGGACTTTCCCGCTGGGGCTTTCGGTGGAGCTCCCTATGGGGCCACGAAGCGTGTGAGGGGTGTGCCGAAATGGGTGCGGCCAATAACGGTGATTGTGATGTGATGATGATAGTGATGATGATGCTGTTGATGATGATGCTGCTGCTGCTTCTGGTGGTGATGATGATGATGATGCTGATGATGATGATGATGATGATGATGATGATGATGATGATGATGATGATGATGATGATGATGATGATGATGATTTGGCGTCACCCCAACATACTTATGCAACCTGTGCGTTGCCCTTGGGGCGATGCGCGTACCGAGAAATCTTATAGTATATGCGTCGCGGAGGGCGCTTTCTGGCCACACCGCTCGGGAAACGATATATTACAAGATGGGTATACTAGATGCTTGGGTCGGACGCGTGCCTCCAAGGAGAACATATGGTACTAGTATGTCTTTGTGCGTCCCAATGATGCTGATGCTGATGATGATGATGACGATGTTGATGATGACGACGACGATGACGATGACGATGACGATGACGATGACGATGACGATGACGATGACGATGATGATGATGATGATGATGATGATGATGATGATGATGATGATGATGATGATGATGATGATGATGATGATGATGATGATGATGATGATTGTGATGATGGTGATGAAGATGATTAGGATGAGGATGGAGGATGGAGGGGGAGGAGGAGGAAGAGGAGGAGAAGAGAGGAGAGGAACGCGGGGCGCTGTCTCTTCAAAACGAGGACCCAACACCACAGGACGGTTGGGAAAAACAAATCAGGGGCAGGTGGCAAGCGCGCGAATTGGTGTTTTAGCAAGAAGCCGAAGGCACCACGTTTGTCTCTGCATCATACCCAGTAGCGCACTGGTGGGCAACGGTGTCCTTCTTGCTCGAGGAGTTTGAGGGTTGTTTGCCGACCAGAGAAGACATATTCCAATCGCTGTTGGCTGGCGTCCGAGAGTTGGTGAGTCAACTTCCCTCGTCGTCCCCCATGTCTCCCTCTACTCGCCCTTGAAGTCTCGAAGGATGGGTTTCAACATTTGGACAAGGCCACGGATTCTGAGACTGTCAGTGTTGATTCAAAGACAAAAACAATGCCACCCGCGCGCACAGGACGTTGCAGCACATAAGCCGGCAGAGTTTTACACAACGGTCCCGAAACAGGACCCTGCACGAGGAGGTAGGCTGTAGAAGGTTATCAAACCGAAGAGGGTTTTTGCAAGAGATGTGAGTTCTGGAGGCACGATGGCGCCCGATGCCAATAGCAGCGCTAAACTGAAGGAGGGGGGTTGGGGTGCGACGCGGGGGGCTTCTCGCATCTGCAACCCGAAGGCGGTAGCTCTGTGGCACGAGGCGCCGCGAGTAACCATCCAGAACCCCCATCCCCAAGCTTGAGCCTCTCGATGTCAAACAAATCGTGGCTGGGCCCCCAAAGAGGCCCAATGGTGTTGAGCAGACGTCAAAAAAGGATTTTATGCTTTGGCCCCAGACGGGTCTGCAGCAGCTCACGTACCTGTACATCCCCATAACAACCTGAGGACGTTGGCCGTGGCAGCTCATGCCAGTCTCAGCGATGCTGCCGGCGAATGACCGAGAGGCCGACGCGGCGATGGGTCTTCTCCCTCGGCCACCCGGGCTACGTTGCAGACTGAGGCAGTTTGAGCGGGCAGCGCGGCGTCAAGAGAGAGAGAGAGAGAGACAGACAGAGAGAGAAAAAACAGGGCAAGAAAGAGAGAGAGAGAGAGAGAGAGAGCGCCCCCCCGGGGCGCGGCCATGGACGCGGCCCTACCTGGCCCCTCCGCTCCGAGGGCGGCCTTGCGGAGAGCTTTTCAGGACGA